TGTATGCTGAGCTGATTGTGACCTGTTGTGGAAATGTGGTAGGCTGAATTTTGGGACTGATGAAATCTTTACAGAAGGTGTTTGAAATTTTGAATGCAAAGGTTTCCCAGGAATGGAACTAGCTGTGACCTTAGTGCAAGTAACTACTGAACGACATATCTGGAATCTCTTTTTTATTATTTTAAGCAACATGTGAGGGAAGTGACAAAAAATAAGAAAAATCAGAAAGAGGAGTGCCTTCATTTAAGATGGCTCCAAGAAACTTAAACCTTGTACATAAGTGTCCAAAAGTGAAAGAAGCCTCCAGACAGAACAGGCATGCCTCTGTATTCAGAGCAGAAACAAGAGAAGAATCAGGTAGGAACATCAAACTGAGTGGCGGTGGTGTTCAAGTAAAGAAGTATATGTATGTTAGGGAAGCCCATTTACATTGAAGTTGTGGTAAAAGTCACCAAATAACACCTGCACAGGTACAACTGTGCAATAATCCCATCTGGAGGTACAGGTGTTCGTCAGGTTTTTGAAGCGATACTGCATTGTTTAGTGTTCTGTTGCTGCTTTTTTTGTTGTAAGCAAGAGCAAAACTAATACTCTGACAAACCTCTGTAGCTAGCGATGGTTTGTGATACACAGTTTGTTTTCGAGAGGAGGCTATTGCAAGGAGAATATTTGTCTATTTGCATTGATTCTTTGATTGCCTGGTGGGAGAGAGTGGTGTTCATGCATCAATTAAGATAAAATAAAACAAAACATAGATTCTGTCTGAGACTGGCCCTCAAATGAGAAATTCATATCTTTGGTCTTAACATCTGTGTGATTGAGGAGTGAAAGTAATTTTAACAGCTTTTTTTATTCATATAGGTAGCCAATAAATGCAAAATGCATGCCATAGCATTTGAAACAGATGGTTCTTGATTTTTAAACATTGTTCAATGTGGACTTTGACTCCTTTTCAGCTGATGCAGTATTATTTAACTAGATTTCATTGATGCAGAACAGCAATGACAGATTGTACTGCTGATGACTCTGAGGAAGAGTCTAAAAAGACTGACTAAAAAGTTTGATGATACTCATGGGAATTGTTTAACGTCCTGGACATACATTACATAATGTTCAGCTTCATTTCCTTCACTTTAAGTATGTTTGTGAATAGGGTACAGTCAATTTAAAAAATGCTCTCCGTACTGCTGCAGAAACAAAACGGAGTGCCCTCGACTCTTACTGAAGAGAGATGCTGAGAACATGCTGCACCATAATAAGTGCTCAGCTGTTCATTGGATCAAGACCTGCTGCATGATGAGGCATGAGGAAGCATAAAACCAAAAGTAATATAGCCTAAAGTAAGGCAGAATCAGAGAAGCAGTAACTGTTATGACTAGCATGATAATTAAGAGCTGGATTCCCAGTTGTCAGTAGAACAGTGAATGCTTGTGCCAGAAGTGCAAGAAGAACTGAAGAATTTGCCCCAGACATCTCAGATTAGACCAATAAGATGAGACCATTGTCACGTTGGCTGGCAAGGCTTGATCAGATGTCTGTTCTGTTTTACAGCCTTCTCCCCACTGACCATCTCCCACAGATCTTCAGTTTGCTTTAAAACATCTGCCCTTACGTTGTACTCTTATTCATACATTGTGGGAAAGTTATATTTTCACAAATATCTTGAGAGCACTGCCAGCAGAAGAGCTGGTCGCATCCCCTGCCTGTACCTGGGTGCTCATTCCCACCTCCCTGGCTCTATTCCTTTTCCCTGGATGTGTGTATAGGGAACTTCACTGTGAACTCTATTAGAAAACCTCTCTAGACCAAAAGCGATGTGGAAAGGGAAGCGGGGGGAATCTAAATTGTTTGGCTTTAGTTCGTTCCTACTGGGAAACTTAATTCTGTACAGCTTAACCTCCTGCATTGCCATCAATGGGATTTAAGCATGTGTTTAAAAACCAGGTTTAGGTTTGGTACTTTGTTTTATAAGAGCATTTCAGTATAAATATTTGTCCCCATCTATGTACTTAGTCTATTTTCTGTCCAACTAAATAATTAAAAATATTATATCTTGATTATTTCACATGAGGAGCTTTTCAGGAGTGGTAGGAAGAAAGATGACTGATTTGTGTGTGTGTGTGTGTATATATATATATTTTTTTAGCATTGTCTGATACCAAATATTTTATTAGCATTCAAATAGTCTAACCTACATGTTAAGCACTTCATTAAGATGTATAAATTTCCCCTCTTCCTTCCCCCTGCAATTACTTAAGCCTGTCTGGCAATAGCACATATGACAAAGACCAGTGATGGAGTGCTGAACAGCTGCCTCTGCAACTAAAAGGCTGGGGAAATTTCCTTTTTTAAAATTGAAGATTATCTTACGTCTGTTGTAACCTTGTCAGGTCTCAAAGTGAGCTTAAACAGTTCTTGATGTGGAGGTGGGGAAAGCTTAGCTATCTGTATAATTGCATCCACATTGAGCAACAGAGCTTGTGTGCTTAGATTAGGATGTGAGATTCCCCAAATTTGCAGGACAGTTTAAAAGCCACGGTGACACTTTGGGTTCATCCTCAACAAAAGAAAGATGAGTTTCTGCTTATCTATCTTTTTGAGTACTCTTTTTGGCACTGCTATAGACCTCCTGCTTGACGTAAGTTTCTAAGCCTTTCTTGCCTTGTACAAGACGAGAGATTTAATACCTGGGCTCAGTCCATCACAGTAATGTGCTGAATGAAGTCTTATGTTATGTAACATTAGGAGAGATGCGTGCTCTTGTTTTTTTAAAATAAAGAAATCTAGAATGCCCAGAATCATAAAGAAAACAGAAATCCAGTTATTTTCTATAACAGAAACCTTAATATTCTGAAGTCAATAATTAATAAATGGACAGGCTAAAAAAAAATTAACTGCTATTAAGAAAAGCAGTTATTGGGGAAGTTGGTGATATGTTGATAATGTTTTGGGCAATAAAAAGACTGTCTCAGCCTTTATGAAATGAATAGCCTAGGCTATTCACCTAGGAAGGCTCAGACTGAAGTATTTTCCATTGGGCGGCAGCGAAGTGCTGCATAGTTTTATAAGTGTACTGAAATATGTAGTCATCAAGTAATAAGCACAATATGAAGCTGGTGCTTTAGGCTTATGTGACTTATTCTGTGCCATTCTTAAATAGAATAAGAGCCTTCGGTGGAGATTTTTGATAGCTTGCTAGGAGTCGGAGAAAGATTGATCAGGTAGTCCGGAGAGATGAAGTGATGCCAGCATAGAGGAGGGCGTATTAGAAATTGAGAAAAGGGGCTATTTCACACATATAAGGAAGCAATCATGAGAAAGGAGATGTGGGTCAGGGGAGAAATAAGGTTCTAGCTACTGTGTCGCACTAACGGCCTGTCCTTTTCCCCTGAAGCATGTATGATTGCTGCACCAGTTCATCTATTTAATTTTCTTAGTGAAAAAACAAACAAAAGGCTGATCTGTGGCTAGGGGACAGGAAGAATCTGAACTAGTGACTGCGTCAGTTGCTGCCAAGGCACGTATGTGTACCCTGTTGCTTTTTAGATTTTCTCAGCTATAAAATGTGAGTAATAATGCTAAATTATGTATCATTCAGTGTTGTGCGAGTTAATTAGATAATGCTGCGTAGTCCTTTGAAGATGAAATGCATAATATAAATGTTGTATAAAGCTTACTAAGGGTCTCTGTGTCAGGTATATAGAAACCCATGGTAACTGCAGACACAGGAGAGCTGGGAAGCATAAGGCAGAGGCACTTGGGCTGGCTGCATGCAAATTGCCTTCAGTCGAGCAGCACAATAGCACATTCACAGAAATTTGTCCCATGCTGACAAGCCCTGCAGACGGGCACAACAACATGTAAACACTTCTGGACTAAAGCTTTTAGTCTTGTACTGTCTAACCTACTGCTTCAGGAATCCTTGCTTCGTTATGCGTGAGAGATACTGTAAATGGCAAAGAGAAGGAACTGAAATGCAAGCTCTGTTGGCTTGGTATTTTTGACCCAAGACACTTGGCAGTAGTGGGTCATACACCAAGGCAGCATGAAGTTTAAAGGAAAAATGGAAGGATGGAGACATATGTACGCTGCTCCAGGTGCTGGAATTTTAATACCAGTAGTTGTGTGATGAGCTAGACTGGGATAGAGAGAGAGAACTGTTGCTTACTGAAGCAGTTTAGCAAAGCTTGGAGGGTGGATTAGTGCTAACTGTTTTTTCTATTTAGTTTACTTTCTTGTTTCCCCTATTAGATCTTTCTCACTGGTGTACACAATAACTTTATCCTCTAAACATCTCTCAGCAGGTGTTGTCTCTTAGCTAGCATAACTACCGAACTTCACCATTATTTACTAACAAAAGGGATTTCATTTGGTAACTAAGGCATGATTTATTTTTCTTTCAAAGAATTTTTGGCCGTGTGCCATGGATTTTGCAACTGAGCAACATCGTGGTACATTTCATTTGTCACCGGTGTCAGCAAGCTCTCTTACAGTGCTTGAAATAGTTTTACCAGTTTGGGGCTTTGAGTGACTTAGATGAATAAATTGCATCTTACTGGAAGGTCAAACGAAAGAAATGTGGATTTGTAGGTCTCCTTGGTGAGAAAGTACAGAAATACATACTAATTCCAGATCAGCATTGTTTATCAACAACAGCAGCAAAATTAAAAAGTAAAAGTAGGAAAGGCGTTGCTATGTCTTTGAGGTCTTTTTCTGGAGAAGCTGCGTTTTGTTAACCTATTGCTGAAAGATTGCAAAAGCATAAAGTCATATGATGAAGTAGGTTATATTTTTTGAAAATAGATCATTACTTCAGTTTGAATAGTATACGTATTAGTTTATCCTCCAGATAACTGAATTGTGCATTGAACTTCATAACTAGTTTTTTTTTTTTTCCCATACAGATTTGAGACTAAAAGTTTACTATTCTTTTGTTCTCATGAGCTGAATCTTTTCTTACTTAAGCGAGGTTATCTTATTTTCTCTAAAATTTTCTTGCAGATCTTAGAATCTCAAGCCATGTATTTCCTTGGACTGCTGTCTTTGCTTGTTTGGCAAAGCAAAGCCTTCAAGACAAATTTTCCTGATGAAACCATTGCTGAGCTTTCTGTGAATATTTACAATCAGCTGCGAGCTGCAAGAGAAGATGAGAATATTCTTTTCTCTCCTCTGAGCATTGCAATAGCCATGGGAATGGTAGAGCTTGGAGCCCATGGAACCACTTTGAAAGAAATTCGACATTCCTTGGGTTTTGACAGCTTAAAAAATGGTAAGGCCTTTTAGTCATGTTTTACTATGGGGCTTTTTGTCTTAGAAACAGATGGCGATGCCTGAACAATGATAGAAGTGGCCTGGTCGTGTCCGTGGGTTATTAATCAGTAGGCTTCTTGGCATCCTGTTTGATGGCCTGAGCTTGCTGAAGCATGCTTCAGTGGACTCTGCATAAGCTGGGAGATGCTAACATACAATCCTGGCTTCGACACCTGAATCTTAAGCAATTGCAATTAACTGTTGATCTTGGTTTCTGTCTGCAAAATAAGCATGTCTTTGCCTCTAGAGTTTTAAGAAGATTTTTAGGAACATTCTTTTTAGGAATTATAATGAAACGTAAAAAGGAAAGCAGTAGTTTTAGCAATATTGCTTATAAGAACGTATGAAAATCTAGTATTTTAACTAGAAATATCTCTTACTTTGACACAACTCGTTTGGTTCTTGTAGGTAGCACCTGTAGCTTCTTTACCCTAATTCTATGTCACTAATGTTCTGTCTGCATTGCATAATGTCACATACAGATATTTTAGGAAATATAAGCATCTTGGCTGTTTTGGCATGATATGCCACATGTTCCCATCAGTCTTTTTGAGAAACAGGATTCATTTCTTTAGCAGAGAACAATACTGCCACACCGTCCTGTTTGTAGTATGGGATGAGCTAAGTCATGCACCTGGATGTAGTGCTGTGCTGTGGTGTGCGAACACACTCGGTTAGTGCAAGCAACTGTAATATGACTGCAAATGGAGGGGACGAGTGAATGGCAAAAAATGACTGTGAAGAGGCAATTTCTATGAATTTTGATGTCTAAGTAATTGGTTTGAAACCTGAATGAAATTTCTTATTCGTATAATGTACTGGACTTTAAGTCTTCGGTGAAAGGATCGTGGGGAGGAATTTCTGAATACAGTGTTCAAGATGTGCTCAGCAGTACCGCTGCACAGATAATGCCTCTCTGTGGAGACTGCAGCACATATTTAATTCCACAGTTTGTCTCTAAAACATTGAGAAATTATCCCTTAGCTATAATTGAAGAAGTTATGCAGTTGATTTGAGCTGGGCCATTCACTGTTCTTTCATATGAGTGGCATTCAGTGAAAGAACTCCAATGATTACTGCTTGGAATATATCATGGCATTCAATTTTTAAGTTATTTAAAAAAAAAAAAATTAGAAGCTTCAGCTTCAGGTAGACAGTGCAACAGTACAACCTTCCTATCTTAAAGCAGACTACTTTAATCCTACTCAGGATTACTCATTACCCAAGCAAATGATTCTGTACTACCCCATGCGGGATCCTGGGAAATTCTAGACCTGTTTTTTGCAGAGAGAAGTCTATGGGGAAGTCCTTAGCTTCAAAACTTGAAGTTCATTTTTCCGTAAACAACTGGCTTTTAGGATGTAACAAAAATTCTGTTAAGGATTTGTGATGGCAAGACATAAAAGTGTGACTTGTAAGAATAATTATTTTTAATTACTCTTTCAGTGTTGGAAGGATTATCATTGATAGCTTTGTGATGGGATCCAAATGTCTCGTTAATTACGCTAATTATAGGTAGCAGAAAAATAAGCTCTAAATAATATGTTCTGCCTTGTAGATTGTTCTTTCAGATCTGAAGGCGTGTGTAGGTTTAGAAACAAGTTTATTTAAAAAAAAAAAACTTTTTTTTTTCTGCATAAGCTGCCTTTGTGAATTCCCAGCAGAAAAAAGCATGGAATAACTTTGTTTTCTGAAACACTGAATCTGTTTTTCTTTCCTCAGGTGAAGAGTTTGCCTTCTTGAAGGAACTTTCTGATATGGCAACTACTGAAGAAAGTCATTATGTTCTGAATATTGCTAACTCTCTGTATGTGCAGAATGGATTTCATATCAGTGACAAATTTCTGCAGTTGGTGAAAAAATACTTTAAAGCTGAAGTAGAGAATATAGATTTCAGCCAAAGTGCAGCTGTAGCTACCCACATCAATAAGTGGGTGGAGAATCATACAAATAGTAAGTCCACGTGATTCTTTTATGTACTTCCTGCAGTAAGTGTTTGAGTTTCCAAAGTTATACAATGTTGTTGAATCGTTGCCTTGGCTTTTATCTGTTCTGTTTGAGACTAAAGTATCTCTTCCCATGAAAAGAATTCTAGTATCAGCTCTTTGTGAAATTATATTTTTTTTTCCTGTGCAGGGATGATCTGTCTTAAGTAATATTAGCCACTGCTAATCATATAGTAGTTATCTGTCTGAATATTTTTTTTCCCGTCTTACTATCTTCAAGTACCTCCATTGAACGAGAATGTTTTAATGGTAGGCATTTTAAAACTGATTTTGGCATTAAATTACCAAAAAAAATAGATAAGTACTATTGCTAACTGCAGAAAAGTTGTCTACAAAGGGGTTATTGGCCTATGCTTTGGATGTGTGGAGTATCACTAGTTCTCTGAGGAACTCAGTTACAAGGTACTGAGAAAGAGAATACTAAGGAATACAAAAAATAATTTTGAACCACAAAATCAGACCCTGTAATTTAATCTTTTCCAATGTGAGGAAGCTAGACAGAGTGTTGAGAGAGTAGTTGATTTTAGGAAGACTGTCAACAGAGTTTCACAACAAAAATTTGCAGCAGGGGAGTAAGCACAAAATTACCCGTGTAAATATGCATATTCAGATCTGCATGATGCAGTGCTTGCTTCGCTTGCGGAATCCCAAATATGTAACATTTTGTGAATACATATGGAGTCTCAAGGTATGGGAGTGTCCCCCATTGTATGGATCAAAACATAATCTCATTCTAGTTCATCTGGTACACTCTGGAGGTCGGTATTTTAAGAGGGATCTGGCTCTAACATCGGTCGTACCATTGTAAATTTGAAGGTATCGGAACCCCCTGTAAGGAATTAACGCATCACCATGTAGTCTGAGCATTTAAGAATCCATAATGCTTTATGGAAACGTATGGCACCAAAGTGGAAAAACATTATGTTGTTATTCCATTTTGGCAATGGTCTGGTTTTTTCTGAGGGAAAATGGCAGCTATTATAGTCATAATAAATTCTGCCCTTTATCTCAAGCTGCAGAAATAGAGGGAATGTAAGTGATGCAGCAGATTGCAGGGTGTTTTCAGAGAAACGTGGTGTCTGCCTGAAGGAAAAGTAAAATCCTCTTTTAGAAAGAACAAGTTCTCCTGCTTAATACCTGCCACATGTGCTGACCGAGCTCATAACCATTGCCCTGGAAGGAGCTGTGCAGAGCTAACAAAGGCAGCTTGTGGGTCTCTCAGCATTAGGTTGCGATAGTAACAGTCCCTCAGCTTGGTCTCTGACCGCTAGATCTCATTCTCTCCTGCCTGCCAGCTCTGACAGAGGAGGCTCATTTTCTCATTAGGAAAGGGGTACAAGGCAGGCAGGTTTCCAATTCCAGCATGTTAAGCATGATGGGAGGCTCGGAGCAGAAAACATAGCTGTCAAATGTTTCTCTGGCCAGAAAAATTCTTAACATACATTAGTGTATTAACAAGATGTGGCTGAAAAATGTAAGGGAATGTGATCTACCAAATAGAAATGGAAAAACTGGAAGTGTATTCCTCCTTAATTTTTCCTTTTTTTTCCAACCAGGGAGAGTGAGTAGGGCAGTATGGGTCACATCTCATTTCTAAGAATGTTCTAGATAAAATGAAGTACAAACAGCAACCCAGAAGAAATACTGCCCTATGATACACAAATTTCACACCAGTTAGTCGGTGTCATATGCTCCAGAAAGCAGAATTAATCTGTATTTTAAACCATGGATTAAGAAGTAATAATCAGACTGAGGAATGTGTTTATTTTAACACCTTGCATTGCGATGTCAGTTAAAAATAGAAGTGAGCAAGAAAGCTATCTGAAGTAGGCTGTAATTCGTCAAGAATAGTGACAAATCTGGTCAGTGCACCAAATTTAACAAACTCAGAATTATTTTGCTGAAAAGCAAGCCATTTAAGATGAGCTAAAGCAGGTAACAGACTGTTTTCTGATGCAAATGACTTATTGAGGAGTAGGAGCAAAGCAGCTGCCATGCTCAGCTGACATACCTCCCATGAATAGAGCAGATGCTAGATGTTTTTTTCTCTTTTGCTTTTCAAGAGCTAATGTCAGTGGAACAAATGCTAGGAATTTATGGGGTTTTTTATGATTAGTCCTTATTTTGACGTCTATTGGACATTACTTGATTAGAAACTGAATGCTTCCTTCAAAATTGGCTCAGGTGAAGTTCCAATGGGTATACTTGCACGCTTTAAATTAAACACCCATTTAAGTGCTTCTCTGGATTGGAGCCAAAGTTTGTAGAAGCTCTGACCTTAAGAGGGTAGTGCTGAACTGTGTTGTAACACCAGTGTAAACATTCCTCATGTGACCCCTTTTCCACTTGGTTTCACTGTGGGGTATATTTAAGTAGTGATCAAGCAACAGTTGACTAACATGTACTCACTGGAAGGGTTTATGCACCTAGAGTGTGATTTAGGTTTACAAAACACTGGCAGTTTAATTTGAGATTTAATGGAACATCTGAATTGGAAATTACATGTTAGCACAGTTTTTTATTTTCTTGCATTTTTCAAGCTGTCTTAAGCTTTGGTTTAATGCTCAATTTGACATGCAGACTGACAGTTGGTTTTCTTCATAGATATGATCAAAGATTTTGTGTCTTCAAGAGATTTTGGTGCTCTAACTCATTTGGCTCTCATCAACGCAATTTACTTTAAAGGCAATTGGAAATCACAGTTCAGACCTGAAAATACAAGAACTTTTTCTTTCACTAAAGATGATGAAAGTGAAGTGCAGATTCCAATGATGTACCAGCAGGGAGAGTTTTACTATGGTGAGTTGGAGCTTTAGCAATTTTTAAAGCTAATGTCTTCCCTTAATAGGTTTGTTGCAATAATGCTCATTTGTATTGTCTGTTCTTTCCTCTACAATTCTAAATGTGGTGTTTGCCCAATGAAGGGACTCTGATTTTTATGTCTTCTCCTAATGTGTGTGCTTGTGTATTATAACAAGATAGCAACACTTACAATGACCTCTTTCTTGGTTGCTTTTTTAGGTCCATGTTTGGTGCCACACGGTGGATTTCACATTACATCTAACCTCTTGACAATTTTTGAGCTAGTCCTGCTTCTCACTAAAATATTTTTCTTGTGCTGTGCTAAATATTAAAATGAATAATGTTTGCTTAGAAGGGTAAAATAGGTTTTGACTTGAGCTTGAACTCCAAGTGGGTTCTACAGCGTTGTCCTGGTTTCAGCTGGGATAGAGTTAATTTTCTCCCTAGTAGCTGGCATAGTGCTGTGTTTTGGATTTAGGATGAGAATAATGTTGATAACACCCTGATGTTTTAGTTGTTGCTAAGTAGTGCTTACACCAGTCAAGGACTTTTCAGCTTCTGGGCATCAGTCAGTGGGTGGTGAGCAATTGCATCGTGCATCACTTGTTTTGTATATTCTTTTATCATTGTTATTATTTTCTCTTCCTCTGTTGTCTTTTTAAACTGTCTTTCTCTCAACCCACAGGCTTTACTTTTTTTTTTTTCCCCCCTGATTTCCCTCATCCCGCTGCAGGGGGAAAGGTGAGCGAGTGGCTGTGTAGTGCTTAGTTGCTGAGTGGGGTTAAACCACAAGTGTCATTGGCAGTATTTCACTCAGTCTTGTCATTGACAAATTCTCTCTCCTGAATAAAAAACCCTCTGCCTATTTCCATGAAAGTCTTGGCAGCCTTAACAACTTTTAGACTTCTCTCTGTCTAACCAATGGAAGTTAGGTAATAAGTTTAGAAGTATAATTATCTACAAACTGTGTGATTGCATAAGCTTGTTTTCTTTAAGAAAGCAGATGTAAGCCTCAAATCCTGTGATGAAGAAACTAATATAAATTTTATACAGAACAGAATCAAGAGGGTCATTTTTGTCTCCAGTGTGTAATAAATATGGCCTAGTATTAACTTTCTATTTTTCCCCTATCTCCAGTAAAAAAAAAAAAAAAAAGAAAAGAAAATATTTCTAATAGTTGCTTTTGTTATTGTTTTTCTTTCGTAGGAGAGTTCAGTGATGGCTCCAATGAAGCAGGTGGTATCTATCAAGTTCTGGAAATACCATATGAGGGAGATGAAATTAGTATGATGATCGTTCTTTCCAGACAGGAAGTTCCACTGGTCACGTTGGAACCACTGGTCAAAGCCTCGTTGATTAATGAATGGGCTAATTCTGTAAAGAAGCAAAAAGTGGAAGTCTATTTACCAAGGTGAGAATATGCTCCTATGTCAATAGAAGGGGAAAGATTGCATTCAAATTGATTGGAGTAGCAGAGTAGGTAAAACTTGAACATCTTGATCAAGTCTGCAGTTATGTAGCACCCACGTGAAGGTTGCTTTGACAAGAAAGCCCAGGGGGTGTGCAGTGCAGAATGATGGTTGTTTGAGCAACAGATGAGCACTACATTTGCATCCTTCATTCATAAGCTCCAGAAAGGAGAATTTCATCATCAGGAATATATCTACTCTGATGTTCAGAGTATTGCAGAACTCGTTATGGATAAGTTCCATTTAGACAGGAGCCATAGAAATATTGCAAGTCTGAATTAACAAAATGTTTCATTAGCTTTCCAATTAGATTTCTATGTGCTGCTAATTTAAACAGTTCTAATGGTGTGTTTCTGCGTAGATACAAGTGGTTGAGTGTTGAGAGGTAATACCAGTCAACTTGTGTCTTCTGTCTTTTTTTCTTAGTTGTAGTAAGTGCTGGTTTCTTTTTCCTTAGAGGAGCAATAGAATAACGAGATGTTACTACCAGAAGGGATGAAACTTCTGTCAGTTCATTTGTAGACATAAGTTGTGTGTTCTCAGTGGCATATTTGCTCACATAGAACACTTAGTTATCTTTCCTAGAATTCTATTTCATCTACCTTCAAATATTTTTCATACTTGCCCTACACTTGACTTAGAAATAGAGTTGTTTACTACTAAATGTCACTAATAACGTATAGTTGGATCATGACGTCCTTCAAGTGATTCATAATGGTTTCATTGAAGTGTTTATATAACAATTTGGCACAAGTTTGACGTGGATCACTTCTACTTATTCAACTTTTGTGGCACTGTGCAGTGGGTACATGGCAGCAGAAAAAATAAACTATAGTGAATCCTTTTCATCGTTAAAATAGTTCTTTGTTTTCAGGTGACTTGGAGATTTGAGTTTGTTATATTTCACATGTAAAGAGCAGGGCAATAATCCCTGCAGTTTATTGGCTTCCTTTCCAAGCAAAGACCACTTTCAAGAAGCTAACTGCAGCGGAGCACAATAAAACAAGGCTAGCTAGGATAAATTAGGTTGAGATGGACTGGTGCTGTCAGTGTGCCCTGATTCCAACTCAAGATCGAATTCCACTTCTCTTTAAAGCTGTTATGCTTGGAGTCAGAGTGGCAAGGGAACAGCAGCATTTTGGGGCTATTTTTCCCTGCCCCCTAGTAAGAGTTCCTTTCTTTTTTAAGTAGCGTTTCCTTTGAAGAAGCAGGGAGAGCAGCAAAGAGCTGCATTGCAGGTTTTATACAAACTGAACGTGCTGTACACCATTTCTGTGATTTTTTGTTTGTTTTTCTCTTGGAGCTTCAGGTCCCAGAAGCTTTAGTGTTAACACTCCACTAAGATGCAGGGGAGGGGTGTTTCTCCAAGGCTCTTTCTCCTGCTGGCTTGGGCAAACCTTACCTAGATGTTAATGAGAAGTAAAATATGAGGATTCTTCCATCCCTTAAGCTTTTCTTTTATAACTGGAGCATTTCACAGCCTGTGCATCAGGTGCTGAAGTTGGACATCTTCTCTCAAACAATTTCTAGACTGCGAGATCCACAACAGAAGTCTCTCTCCATTGATTGTATAGGGAATCTGTGAAAACTAGCTTCCAAATTTAAGAAGCATAGGCATCTAAAGGTAAATACACAAATGTAATTGAAATCATATTAATTATGTTTATGACTTGAATTATGTTTATAGAGGTAGTTTTGGGTTTTGTTTGCTTTTAACCAAAAGCAGAGACTCCAGGATTCTCTGTAGCCAGGTTCTCAGATGTGAGTTTGAGGTTTAGGTTTTGTGTGGTCATGTAATGTCCTTATTTATTCCATCCTCAGGCTAGTTGTCATTCTTGTCGCTCGTATCTAAGAACCTCAAAGAACTTGGTAAACACAGAATAGAATCATAGAATCATTTAGGTTGGAAAAGATCATCAAGTCCAACCATTAACCCAGCACTGCCAAGTCCACCACTAAACCATGTCCCTAAGCACCACATCCACATGTCTTTTGAATACCTTCAGGGATGGGGACTCAACCACTTCCCTGGGCAGCCTGTGCCAATGCTTGACCACCCTTTCAGTGAAGAAGTTTTTCCTAATATCCAACCTAAACCTCTCCTGGCTCAGCTTGAGGCCGTTTCCTCTCGTCCTATCACTTGTTACTGGGGAGAAGAGATCGACCCCCACCTCGCTACAGCCTCCTTTCAGGTAGCTGTAGAGAGCAATAAGGTCTCCCCTCAGCCTCCTCTTCTCCAGACTAAACAACCCCAGCTCCCTCAGCCGCTCCTCATAAGACTTGTGCTCCAGACCCTTCACCAGCTTTGTTGCTCTTCTCTGGCCACGCTCCAGCACCTCGATGTCCTTCTTGTAGTGAGGGGCCCAAAACTGAACACAGTACTCGAGGTGCGGCCTCACCAGTGCCGAGTACAGGAGCACTATCACCTCCCTGGTCCTGCTGGCCACGCTATTCCTGATACAAGCCAGGATGCTATTGGCCTTCTTGGCCACCTGGGCACACTGCTGGCTCATATTCAGCCGGCTGTTGACCAGCACCCCCAGATCCTTTTCCACTGGGCAGCTGTCCAGCCACCCTTCCCCAACATTTGTGAATTAAGGCTATACAAAGGCAAACCAGGTACAACCAGGTGCCGATTACCTTCAGTATTTTCAGATTAGAAAAGATAACTATCATGAGCTTGAAATTCCATATAGTAATACTGCAGTTTCCTTATAAAGGTTTCAAAGATTAATTGCTTGCTCCCAAGGTGTTAGATATGCATTAGGGATTCAGAGGTGATCTGCAGGATTTTATCAATGCTCTAAATAAACATTTCATAAATATTTTATGCTCTGACTCAGAAAGGCATGTTATGAAATGTGGCCTGCAGACTCTGTCCACTGAGCAATTGAAAGCAGCAGTGGAATAGAATTAAATTTTTATATCCTGAAAGATGCTATCCAATTATAAAATGAACATTTTTTTAAACTTATACATTTGTAATAGGACCTGAATGACTAGCCAAAGCAGAGTTAATCACAACTTCCCAATTTCTGTCTGCATTATCTGTGTGCAAATGAAATTGTGTATTATTCCTCTTAATAGCAAAGGAGACATTTGTACAGAACTGCTAAATTATACTTTCTCATTTTCATTTTCAACTCATTGTTTCCAGTTTAACCCAGACTAAAGTGATCAACATTTTAATTCACTTTTTGCATAGGAGTGAAACAGACCATGAATCTAATTTACAAAGCTGTCTGTAACAGATTATTTGAAGAGCATAGGAGGGACTAGTACCTAATAACAGTACTACAGCCTGCAGATCTTCTCTTAAGGATTGTTCCAGTATGCCCAGCTCTCTATAATGACCACCTTGGCTTTTTGTACATTTAAAATATCTTAAAAATACCTTAGACTGTGTTGAAATGATAAGTTTCTTTAGCTGAAGGTTGTTTTCTCTCAAAAAAAATGAAACCCACAACCAAAAAACACCCCCAAACAAAAAAAAACCCGGGCAATCCCTTTTTTTTTTTCCTCTTTTTTTAACATGTTCTCTTGACTCCCCTTTTCACGAGGAATAGGCCAGTGCTGATAGTTCTTGAGGTGCAGTCACGGAAGAGGCATAAAGCTGTCCCACTGAAATACACACTTAGCCAACTTCTGCAGCCCATGTTTAGCCCTGGACAGAAGGACCTTGCCAGAGAAAGAACCGTAACCTGCCTTGCTTCACCAGGTCAGAGCAGCAGTATGGGTTTTTTGGAGGTTTTTTTGCTGTTAGTGGGGTTTTTTGTTGCTTGCTTGTTTGTTTTCAGGCTATTAAATCATGCAGGCTAGTTCTAGCACCTCAGGACAACATAGCTGAAATTCCAACTGAAATGCTGGAATTTATATCAGCTGGCAGCTTTGTATGGTAGGCTGCTTGCTAGGTTAAAATAGTGATTCAGGTCCTGAGGACATGTCCTCAAGAAGAATATTGTTGATCTCAAGCAATGGAGCCATTCCTTTGTTTGCTTTCTGTTCTGCGGAATGTAATGTATTAGAACCAAGCTGAAAACCTGGAATTTCTTGCTTCTGCTTGTTCAGAACTCTTAGCAGTTCTGGAAATTATAGCCTTTGGGATGAATCACACTAGGCTCTAGTTCACTTCAGTTGTATAACTAGGAAGTGTACCCTAATCCTTGATTCTGTGGATCCTGAGTGTCTAAGGACTTCACGAAAAATTCAGCATTTGAGAAGGTTTGGATAGCATCATACAAGATGAAACCATCTTTTTTTCTGTCTTGAAAGTCTGTAAAATAGAAGAAAGATGGCTTGATACGGCATGATAAAGTTAATGCTCTATCCAAAACTTAAAGGTTCAGATACATAATTAAGGAGACTGTCAATGACATAAATGCATCGTTTTAATCTAATGCTTGTTTAAGTTCTAAATGTCATGAAAATATCATTCTCTGCTAAACTCTCCAGAGAACTGTTTGTTAGTTTCTCAATCTAATCTTCCTAAGCGTCTCATTCTGTTCTTCATTTTATGTGGGAGAGATCCAAAGACTGTGGAAATCAAAGGAAGTATTTTTGTCTAGCTATTTGGACTGCATTTTACATGTAGGAAGCAGAGAGACTTTACAAATGAACATTGTAAAAATAAGTATAAAACTAACTTCCTTCTTCACTTCTCCTTGACTTTGGCTAACAGCTGATAGGCAGAGTCTCTGTCCCTTCTTAATATCTCTCTGCTCAGTGCTTTCTAAGGTGGTATGTAGAAGCATATGTCCATGAACGTATGTGTTGGTGAACCTTCTAGAACTGCTTAAGTACAGAAGCTCTCCTCTTGACTCAACAGGACCAGTGTTTCTGATTCTGTTCTGGTCCTATGGTGAAAATACCTCATCTTTTCTTCAGTGTCTGAGCTTTCTCAGACTGCCCTTTGTGGTTTTTAATGCTCCCAGTTGCAACTATTCCATGACTTCTGATACTGAAGTATTGAAATTGGTTTTTTGATAGTATTTTTAGCATCAGAAGCACCTAAAAGATTGTGGAAAAAAATATGACCATCTGGTTCATTATATGTGACAAACACTGCAAATAACCATGTGTCAGGGCTAGTATCATGCAGCTCGGCATTTCCAAAGTCTGGAGGTACAGCAAATGCCTGGCTTGGGAAATGAGATTGAATGTCTCTTCTGTGTTCTAGGTTGTCAGCTTTGATTTTGAATACCTACATCACTGTCTATAAGGAACGCAAAAGAAATCCAAATACGACTGGAGGATAATTCATACTGAATGTTTACGTCGATTTGCATAGCTTGAAATTATATTTCGAAGTGTAAAGCAGCCCTGTTATTTTTCAAAAGAGGCTAGTTCTGATGTCAGCTAAAATATTTGAAGTATCATTAATAATAGCTTATCTGTAACTCTCGCTGCTCTTCAGAGCATGTGAGAAAGGAGGGGAGATGCTATTGTGAATAGTGGTTCAGAGTGGGTTTTTACCAAATGACAAAACTAAAAGGGGAGAAGGGAAGTAATTGGCTTTATTTTCATAAGGGGATAGTTTGGTATTTATACAGGTGATGTGATATTTTTGGTCTACTTTTTTTGTCATAAAAAGCAGGAACTCACTCTTACAGATATTGTAGAGACCTTCTCTCATCCACCTGTTCAGCATTTGCCTTTCCAGAGGTTTCAGTCAGGCGTATAGCCTCTATCCAGTAATTAAGTGACTGCTACTATTGTTCATGGAGGTATTCTTTAGCAATATAACAAATCAATTTGTCTGCATTTTCTTTTTTCAGATGCATAATCAGTTGGGGCTTTACAGATTTTGGGTTTGTTGGGGGTTTTTTGTTTTGTTTTTCCCCCAAAAATATCTCCCAAACTGCTTTCTTTCTGGGTCACAATTCATCGCTTAGCAGATAAGTGTGTTTTCTGTCTAGTGGTCCAGAGACTTAAGCCCACCTGATTTCAATTTATATCTTGTAGTGATTCTCTGCAGTTGGCAAAAATGCCTTTTTGCAGTTATTTTTCTTATTTGTGACCTCAAGTTTTGCTTTTCTTGCAGACTTTTCTTGCTAGTGTCCTATCCTGATACTCTTTACCAGTGTGATATTGCTACTTAATAGCTAAATTATCTTGAAAGCTTGATACATTTAATACTAATTGTGGCAAAATAAAAGCCAGAAAAGGGAAAAGTACACCACTCTGAAATTTTTAGAAAATGCATTTTAACATTGATTTGCCTTTTCTGCATGTTTGTAAGGTATGTACAGTTAGACGTGTTTTTTCAAAATGTTATAGTATAGTTTTAATATAGAAGGAAATATTTCTGGATTTATTCAATGTGCACAGACTCTGTACTGTGTAACACTAGTTAACTCTGGCATCAGGAATCAAGTCTTAATTCATCTTTCTTAGGGTTTTTACTGAAGTGTCTAAAATTGATCTGGACTTACATTACAAGTGTGTAGTGAGAGTAAAACTAGTTGTTAGTAAGCCTGTAAGCCAATGGGAAATTTGACTGAATGAGCAACTTGCAGGTTTGTCCTTCAGCTTAAAGCTAAAATTGTGCAGGTCTTGTGAGCTCCCTGCCTGTACTTTTTGACCAGTGTGAGAGTCCACAGCTTTCTAAGAGGAAAGCGAGTGATGATTCCTCTTGAAGAAGAAAGCTAACAGGACACATTTCCCTTTCCTGCAATCCTATTAGCTGTTTTCAGGTCATCTCATCTGTGTACCTACATCTTGTTCATTAAGATAATGCCATCTTTTTTTTTTTTTTTTTTAAAATGCTGCCACGCTGACTGATGCAGAATGTGCCAGAACACCATAAGCTTCCTCCAGTACATAAAGCTTTGATGGTCTCTTTTGATTCTTTTGAGAACTGCCAAAACAATAAAATCACAAGAATCAGTTCTTGTGTTTTTATTCCAGGCATATCCTGGAATTAATCTGGACTTGCGGTACCACCAGTGATTTATCGATCCTGAACTATCTCCAGATCTTATTTTAACTTGCATAAAATGCTTCTCTGGGTAATGACTACTATCTATTCCATCACAGATTTTTGGCTTCTTATGGCATTTCTAAGTTCATTATGAATGTAGATTGTGTATTGGATTTTTCTCATTCTGTGTAAATGTTGTAAGTGAGGAAGATCCACTTGACTGTTACCCAGTGGGTTCCTTCATTTTTTTTATTAAAAAAATGCCCTTTTTTTTTTTTTTTTTTTTAAAATGCTGCCACGCTGACTGATGCAGAATGTGCCAGAACACCATAAGCTTCCTCCAGTACATAAAGCTTTGATGGTCTCTTTTGATTCTTTTGAGAACTGCCAAAACAATAAAATCACAAGAATCAGTTCTTGTGTTTTTATTCCAGGCATATCCTGGAATTAATCTGGACTTGCGGTACCACCAGTGATTTATCGATCCTGAACTATCTCCAGATCTTATTTTAACTTGCATAAAATGCTTCTCTGGGTAATGACTACTATCTATTCCATCACAGATTTTTGGCTTCTTATGGCATTTCTAAGTTCATTATGAATGTAGATTGTGTATTGGATTTTTCTCATTCTGTGTAAATGTTGTAAGTGAGGAAGATCCACTTGACTGTTACCCAGTTGTCTTTTGATATCCAGATTATTCTTCTTCAAGCTGCCAAGGCTTGTACGTGCTGAGGTATCGTACATCTCAGCTTTTCATCAGCTGCACTCTGCTCAGAGTTCTGGCCTATATTTTCTTCTGAAAATAACATGTTCCTCCATGTAGTCAAGGAAGTTTAGTCCTGAAAAAGAATTATTACAAGAAATTGCACAGAAGCACATTTATTTTATTTTTGGTTCTAGAACAGGTAAGACCCTTCACTAAGGACTGCAGTGTAATTGCAGAGTTGTTTCTGCCTGAATGGCTTGCTGGAGAAACTGTAACACCACCTTATGGACTATGTATTTTGTGTTGTACAGTTATAACCATTACTGTCAGCATAATTTAAATCACTGATAATTTGTTTGGCCATTCTACAGAGAACCCATAACTCACCCGTAACAAACATTTATAATTAGTCTCTTGTGTTTGTCTGTAGACTTCTGGTATTTTCTGGTTGGAGCTGCTACTCTTATTATTATTCTGACATATTTATTTGTTTCTCCAGCTGTCCAGTCCGTTTCTGGCCATACCTAAAGGACTTGAGTCTTTTTTGTCTCACTGACACCAGGCATAACTTTTATAATGTTTGAAAAGGAGTCTTTGTAAATGGAACAAGCTTTTCCCCAAAATCTTGCCCTTAGGATTAATCTCAATTTGTCCTTCCAGCATAGTAACATAGCCTAGGACATGGCTGTGCAAGCTAACCCCGAAATCCTGCCAGCTTGTACTCACATGTGCAATTGCGCTAGCAACTATTAGTTTTCCCTGTTCTTTACTCACAATCAAAGCCCAATTAAAATTTTGCCACCAGGGTAGTTAGAGGTTGAGTCAGAGGTCTTTTATATTCGTGTTCATAACTGCTGCTCTTTGCTTATACTGTCTCAATAAAAATGGAGTGTCTTTCTTAACTTCCTACTCCTTCTTTGCCAACAGCTGTCTATAAAATTTTGCTGTCCTTTGCCTTATTTGATATTCTGTTCTAGTATGTGTACAATTAAATTCAGTTTTTATAGTAAACCTTTTGTATAAAAAGTAAGCATTTACATTAGCTACTGCATCATTTCGCACTGAGGTTTTATGGTCAGGGACTGTACATTCCATTAGCATATTTTTGATTGCTTCTGCATTAAAAAAAAAATCCACCTGTGGAAGTAAACTAATTTGTATGCATTTTTGTAGAAGGTGCCGCTATGCTATATTACCAGTGCTGAATGTCCTACTTTACATTATTTACCTTGGTGGTGCAATTGTCATTACCTAGAAACCATAACCTTCTAATAACTAATAAGCGCTGCTTCTGTTCTGGGCTTTTTGTAATTTTCTATTGCGTTTTCCAGGTTCACAGTAGAACAGGGAATTGATCTGAAAGATGTCTGGAGAGGTCTCGGAATTACAGAGCTGTTCAGCAGTAGTGCTGACCTCACTGCCATGTCCGGTAAGAGGTTCTTGTGTTGTCTCTCCACATATCCGAGGAAGTACTAAAATCACCTAAAGATAACCAACAAGCTCTTCAAAGTGGCTTTATGGGGGAGGGGGGGGAAACTTGCTAGCAATTTTTTGATCCTTTGGGATTTTTGCATAATGTAAGAGTGTGCTCACTGTAGGAGCAGTTGGGGCAGGGGAGAAATCCATCAGGGTATGTGTGTGGGGTGGGGAATTTTTGAGCTGGGAAAGTGCACTCTGAGTATTCAGAATTGGATCTCATTAGAAACGTGGGGAAAGTGTAATACTATGCAAGAGGCAGATCCACATTAGAGCAATATATGGCTTCAGTGCCTTGATGGCAAATGGGATTTGCACAACAAGGGAGTTGTCATCTTTTATCTCCGGAGGCTATTTGTTCACAGCATTAAGAGCATTAAGCTGTTGCACAATTAGTCATCTCCCCAGATACCTGCTGTATAGAAGCAGCACAGGAAAGGAGTTCTGAGATAAAAGCAATTTAGTCACATATGCTGCTTGCCAATTTCAATACATTGTCAACACTTCATTTTCAGAAGTTGAAATATCCAATACATTTAGAAATTCAGGTGGAAATGAGATATTTATGTTTTTATTACCTCCTAAATGGTATTGAAGTGGCACAAAAGGTAGTCGAGTCATCTTTGTCTGAGAAGTTGTTTCATTTTTGCCGAACAGAAATAGCCCCACAAGCAGTGTATTTAGCATGGTCTGTCTAGACCTGAATTTTGGCAAATCCAGGTGTTCCCTATCTAGAAGCATGTGCCAGCGTGAGATTGTTGTCATTGTTGTAACTTATGCTTATATACTGCTCCCTGTGTGTGTTTCTGCTCTATGGGTTACTGCCTAATCAGCCAGATGGACCCTTAGCTGATGGGAAATACCTGTTCTTGATTGTCTGTCTCTGGAAGCAATCACACTTATGTGGCTTATTCAAAATAGTGGTAATGAATGTCAACCTTCCTCTAAAATTTACAGCAGAAATGTTCGCAATTTTCATATCCTGTTCACTTTTGCTAGGTTTGAAATGTTGTCTATACTATACCATGTAGCTTATTCCACTGTTTTGCCACTTTCACTCTTCCAGTGAAATTGTGGGAAAAGTTGGAGTTAGGCAACATGAAAAGAATTTGAATAAATGAAAAGTCCTCCTTTTAAAAAAATAGCATTTTTCTGAAGAAAAACCACCTTCAATTTCTCTGCCACCCCAAAAGAAAAGTAAGCTTTCCAGTAATTTCTGGTCTATGTATAGAAAAATATATACTTGAGGAAAAGTACTAAGGAGAATGGAAAATACACAGGGGAGATTGAACCACAAAGGCAGTGCTTGGCTCTTATTTCATTTCATGGAAAATTCACCTATGTATCAGGGACTAATTCTGTAGTCGAGAGGTTAGCAGAAAGATTGTTAGCAGAAAGAAAACACTTGCTTGTGTTTTAAGCCCTGTGACTAATGACTTGTTTAAAGTTTTATATTTTTGACAATTGTACTGTACAAAATCAAAATACCATGTTTTGCGTGGCTGAATTAACTCCTCTGTCGTTTAAAGATTAACTTCTTTATTAAGTAATGTAGAGCAGTGTATAGAGAGAATTCTTGCATTTTACTGTAACATCCTAGCTTATCACTTAAAAGGACGTGTGCCACCAGGTGATGAAGAGGTCATTCATAAATTAAGAAAATGTTTTTGAAGTAATGTCTTTAATGAAAACCCCACTGCTGATGCTATGGAGATGAAATTTTAAGTCATTAAAATACAGAATATGTTTCCTATTTCTAATTTTCACAATGTAGAATGGGGAGGGAGGAGGAAGGGGAAAAAGGTCATGAAGAACAATGTTGAAAGCTTGCTTTTGCAAATACCTGAATAGTATGTCAGGTAACAGGTTGAAGCCAGAAGTTTACATACATCTCAGTGTCAGCCCTCTGGAAGATTTGGCACTTCATGAAACCTTAAATGCAGCTATTTGAACAAAATGTTTGTCTGGACCCTTTAATTTAGGAAGATACAAATCAGAAAAGAAAATCTAAGGAGATTTTTTGAGAAATTCTGTTGCATTTAAAAATACTCTCCTCCCCCTCTCCTGTTGCTCTGCCTTTGGATTATTGTCAAGGAAAGCCTTCTGCAATTTCAACAACAGCCCTAATCCTGTAATCAGATCCAGGCACAGATTGTTGAGTTCAGTGAAATTCTGTGTGGGCTTACTGGATATAAATCAAATTGCAGGATTACAGACTTATTTTTCAATATTTAGAATTTTTTGCTTTTTGCACTCAATCTGAAAAATGGAAATAGACAAGTCTGCTTTACCTTCCATGATGTCGGGATTGTGAACAACCAAAGAGAAAGTATTAATCCGGATGCACATTTTAAATGTTACTCTCTTGCAGAAATTAAGTTCTTTGTAAATTAACACAGGTGAGTAGCAGGACATTCCTATTTGGCTGTCTAGCTGCATGTATTCTGACTCGGCAAAAGACTGACAGGTTTTACTTGCATCTCTGATTCCATCAGGTATTCAAAATAATCTTGAAACAACTTCTGGTATTTGGGATTTTATAATTTATACAGCATGTAAACTTGCTACTTGAGTATTTTGACACCACTTAGGACTTACCCTTGAACTAATTTCAATACTAGAATTCTCCTTCCTTTTCAAATGATTATGATATTTCTTACTGTTGTATAATGCCTTAAATGGCAACTGCTTTTAACCTCAAGGTGACCTGCATTTCAGTAAGCAGTGAAGTAATCTTGATGACTTACTTTCACAATATAAAGTAGTTAGAAGAGCACCAGTCCAGTAAATAGTTCTTCGAAGTCTTGACTGACGTAGGTATAATTTTTCTGGGACAATCTAAGCTAGAAAAGCCAATAAACCTGCATGCTTTTTTAAAATGAGACTTGCGGAGCAACCAGTTGGCAGCTATGAGTAGGAGTTTGCAAGCATATGGAGTGTAATGACAAATGAAATGTGATGCTAACGGAGTCATGTACATTAGAAGTAAGCCTCAGATTACTCCCACACATTAATGGATATCTAGGCTAGGGTCCTGCAGAAAGCTTAAACTTTGATACCAGATCTCCATGGGACTTTTCTGAGATGCTAACGATCAAATCGTGTTGGTTCCTGTGAAAATTCAGATTCAAAGAAACTACTAGAGAAGAATGACATGATAGTAGATATTCAGGTAAGTCCCACCTTGTCCACAGCAAAAGCCATAAAGAAAAGATGTATAATAATGACAGGATATGTATGATATTGAACTATTGCAGTCAGTGATTTGACAGTCATAAAACAGAGCAAAGAGAAGAATTCCTGAACACTAGGTGAAAACATTACGCTTCCATATGAAAATAGATGCATTCACTTCAGGAAGAGATGAATGAGAAGGATGTGATAGTGGCAATATAAAGAGAAGAGTCTAGAGAAAGTAAACTGGGATGTGGAATTGCTCTTTTCACCATCCAAGGACAAAGATATCCAATGAAGTGAAAGGGAACAAATTGAAACCAAATAGAAAGTACTTCTCTTATGGAAAACTTAACCACAGAGATCTTTGCTGGGTGTTCCTTGAAGTCATGAGATTGGTAGGATTAAAAAAAAAATTGCTTCAGAGCAATCAAAACTATCTATGTTGCATTGAATAAAATCATTCTATATATTCTGTGGATTAGAAACTTGCTGTAGGGTATAAGGCACACGCTGGGTGAGAGGATCTTTTTCTGTTGTAAGTTGTGCTGTAGTTTTCATCTGTAAGACTTACTATATCTTGTTCTGAAGCAACAATAATACTATAGCTAGAGCAGCGAGCTAGACTAATTGGACATGCTGGTCTCATCTGCAGTGCACTTCTTGTATTCCTGTCAACTTAACAAAAAATTGTTGCTTCTTTTTTTTAATGCTCAGATCCTGAATATGTTTACAAGTAGGCCTACTATTATACCTGATGGTAAATGTTAGCAGTGTTCATGCTGTGTCTGCATTAGGGTCTATAAGCTCATCGGATGGAGACCAGTGTTCTGAGGTGCTAAGTGTTCTGACCAGAAATATACCTCGGTGTACCATAAGCAACACCACAGCATGCAAAACAAAGCATGGAGGATGAAAATACGGGGTATTGCTGTGAATATTGCAGGTCACAGGAGCAGGCTTAAGTGCTGTAATAATAAAATCCGTGATTAAAATATGTGATTCAGCTAAGTGGGCATTTCTTTGTCTGTTATTAAACCTAAAAATTTATTTGGGTTTAAGATGAAGGAAACCCAAACCAGCATTTTCCTATAAAGGCTGCCAAGTTATTGCTTTCTTTTGGTATGTTCCGTATAGCTCAAATGCTCAACTGAGGTTTGAAATAGTCTCAAGTGAGGATAGCAAAATACAGCTGTCTGAAAGGTAAAATTTGGAGAACTGACCAATAAACTTATCATGAATCCTGTTAACTGACATGTTTGCAAAGGCAGCACACACATCACGTGAGACATGCGCAACAGGAATGACTGATGTGCATGGATCTGTCACCCTTAGTTGACAGATGCCTTAGGTATCTATCCATTATCACCTATGTAAATGTTCTTGCACATCCAGTGTTTGTTCTAAAACATTTTTGGAGACCTTGAGTCTTAGCAGGTGCATAATGGAACGGAAGCTTTGGGGGGTGACCATTTAGCACTCGATTGTAGTATTTTGTTAGCTTGTGATTTATTTTTTTGCAGGTAACGCTTGAGGCTTAAAGGTGATGTTGGTGTTGGAATGCAACCACATCGTGTTTTCTGGTGGCCTTTCTGTTAACAGTTAAGGAGGCAAAAGCTGTGAGAAATTGAGCTTAGTGTTCGAGATAAGTAGGTGCTGCATGTCCGATATTTTAAAGTAACACCGTGGAAACTTCAGCCTAGCTTTCAAGCTAGCATTACTGAAGGCTTGGAACTGAAGCCTAGAACTAGTACAAAAGTTAGCAATCTAGTGTATGTTTTACTACATACAATCCCAAAGGGAATGATTTGGGGCTTTTGTTGGTGAGATTTAAGTTAAGCAGCTGAACCTGGAGGTTTACTTCAGTTCTGGGTGTATGTAGCAGTAATGAGATCTGCCTGGGGAGAGGCATTTTAAACTGCTGTCTCTTGTGGTTTTGGCTTGCATTAGTATTAGAACTAGTGGCTGTCGTTGTGACAGCTAAAATAAATGGGTAACAATTAGATCAATAGTCCCAAGCTGTCCCTCCCTAGTCAGCCTTCTGCTAGAGTTTTGGTGTTGAACATTTTGTGAAGCATCAGAAATGCAAAATGGTATAGCTGTCTCACTGGGGTGGTTAGATTAGATTTTCATGGTCGTGTATCTCCCTGTTGAGAAAGCTTTTATTCCCTTCTTAACTGCCAGTTGTGCTCTGTCAGTACTGTGGATTTTATGCAGGTACACTAAATGTATATCTAATCCTTGTTATGTCTTTCTGATGAAACTTGGTCAAAGGGATTAAATGGTGTTGCATGTCTTCCTTCCTGCAAGGTGCTGAGTATTCCAGTAGGTCTGATCATTTAGCCGCTGAAGAAAAGTAATGAAACATCCACTGACTTAAGCAGGAGCAGGCTTGGACTGAAATTAGAATACTGACAAAGAAGGATGGAAAACAAACAAGACTGCAAAAAATAAGTTCCATGGTGGTTTTTGCAATAAGTATTTGTCTTCAGCTTCTTTTAAATATAATGACAAGAAGAAAGGAAATACCCAGTTTTCCTGGAGGAATTCTATATTGTACCTAATGCAGAAATAAAATTCTTTATGTATAAGTATTTGCCATATAGTGTCATAATCCTTTTTCCCAACAGTTGCATTTAAAATCTTGTGTTCAAGGATTGTCTTTTACTCTGTCTAGTGTACTGGTGCTCTACCAGTGCCAAGCTATTTTAACATCCATAGTGTAGGAGAGCACTACAAATTGAAGTGAGGTAAATGGTGCTGTTAAAGGTATTGGTAGAAGGTATTTTAATGCAACTCCTATGCACAAAGCTCTTACCCTTCCCTGCTTGGTGTAAAGGTGGAGTTTAGTGTTGGGGTTTTTGGCAGTGTTTGGGTTTTTTTAAATACTTCAGTCTTACTCTTGAGCCACCTGAAGAATGTTTACTTTTCCTCTCCAGATAACAAAGAACTTTACCTTGCAAAAGCGTTTCACAAGGCATTTCTAGAAGTTAATGAGGAAGGATCAGAAGCTGCTGCTGCCTCAGGTACCTGACTGAAAAGCAGAACTGAATCAAATGTCTGGTTATTCTGTGTTAATTAATTTTTTAAAACTGACTTGCTGTACAGCCAGGAAAGCTAAATAGCATGTAGCATGAAGACACAGCATAGCAAATATATGGCTTTTCAGAAGAGAATTCTGCAAATGAAAAATGTTAGCATTGTTTTAACATGGTGTGTTTCACACAGAATTTTGAGCATCCTGTGGAAAACCTTTTCTTCCTTATTTTGCTTCTGATTGTCAGGAGGGTACAGACTGCAATTTATATTTTCTTTATGGAACTTAAGCATTCGTAATTTTTGATCTGCCAATTGAGATGGTCAGAGGCATTTGATCCAGAACACTTAGAAGGAGTTGAGAATTGTTGCGATTATGTTTTAATAAGCTCATATACAGAGAGGCAAGATGGGAAGCACTAAATGCAAAAACATAGCGGGCTCCTATTAGTGCTAGGAGGCCAGGTGGTTGGTGTTCTTGGTTATCCCATGCTTCTCCTGAAAATAAGTTACATTAGTTGCCAGTATGTATCATTAGGTGATTTCTAATTGCCTCTACTTGTACCAGTCTTTCAGGCAAGGAAGAATGACTTCCCTGGTCATGAATATCAGTAACTGGGTTGAATTGTAACATTAATATGGACAGAGATTACTGGCACGCATGAGTCTTTATTAACAGTGGAGTGAAAATGTAAAAGTAAATTAAACACTAGGAAATAATCGTAATGTCCTGGAGAAATCCATGCATCTCCAAATAAAAATAGCAAAGAGCCAAATTCTCCCTGATTCCCAGTTAATTTTACTTTCAACCTCTGCATTATTTAAAGACGCAAGCTAAAAGCTGCAAGATCAGCCCATGTAGTTGTTGCATATTCCATAGTTATTAAGGGTTACCTTTTACTTATCAACTGCAGGCTTGGAGCTGTTTAAAACAGGTCAGCAGTGCTGTCTAACGTAATGCATTTTCTTCCTACAAGTGAGCAGGAGTCATAACTCCTCTTAAGGTTCTGGATCTTAAAACTTAAGCTGCTCCCTCGGCCTGGGAAGTTGTGCTAGTCTCCATTGTTAATCATTCTTAAAGCCTAAATCAGCATGCAATTACTCGGTAGGTCGTCTTCATTTTCAGTTAGATTTTTTTCATGCTATTTCTTGGTGATGCTTAGTGGTGAGAGCATGGGACTTCAGTGTCTGCTCATGAGCTTCACAAGTATCTCTCATGAAGAGCAGGAGAGTGTGCAGTGATATTTAACAAGTTGCCTGTGTTCTTTTTCCTTTAGGAATGATTGCCATTAGCAGAATGGCAGTGCTGTATCCTCAAGTTATAGTTGATCATCCCTTTTTCTTTTTGGTCAGAAACAGAAGAACAGGTGAGAATATTGCAGACTCTTCCACATTTTTCACAGTACATCATCAAGTGTACAAAAGAAAATTGCATATTTTCATCAAGGAACTGGCCTTGTATTATGAGTCTTCCTTAATTTGTCTTAAAATACCTAATATTGAACGACTGACCTTTTCTATGTCCCCTTAATGTTTCTCCAAGTAAGACACCACAATCTGACATAATCCTGAAAAATATTCACAATTATGTGATTAAAAACCCCGGGGAAGAAAAACTCGCCATTTTTCTTCAGAGAACACAGTGTTACTGCCCTGAATATCCATAATCATTGTATTCCGTAAGAGCTTGGCTGTAGTAAGACCAGTGAGATATGTTCCCGGTACCAAATTATTTGCATAATGGACAGATATTACAGCTATGAATAATTCTCTTGTGCTCTTGAAGTGTTCTGTGGCAGGCAAGGGATGAGAACAGCTGTTGTAGACACATAATTAGGCAAAAATGTATCTGGAGGAAGGTATTTGCCCTTTTCCCTAATCCATATACAAAAATCTCCCCAAAAAGAAAAGTTTAAATCAAAACAGAGTAAAGCTTGGTATCCTTGGGGCAGTTCTCAATGTTGCATGGGCCTTGATGTTGCATGTAGAAAGAGGAATTGCCAACAACTATAGTTAAAGCCTGAAAGTTTGTTACTAATCTAGAAATCTAAGGTTAGAAACCTTTTGAAAAAAAAATCTGTGATGATGACCCATATTCTCAAGAATACCCTCAGTGCTCATGATTGATTACTGTGTTTGAACAGGTTAGATAGAAATGTATAAAATGGGAAAGATGTCAATGGTGATTAAATAGTGTAGGGGAGCAGTATTCATATAGGGAATTCCTTGTTGCGGGTTGCATGCTCTAATGTGGAGTAAATCTACGAACTCAAAGTATCTATCTATTAATAATTAACTGATTGGTGTGGCAGCTTCTGGGGCTCACTTTTAACTCTGTGAGGAACATTGTCTGGCACCTCAGGCCTGTGAGGGTCAGAAACGATCATGAAGGTTATTCTGATTAGGTGTTCACACTTCAGTTAAGGTTAGCTGCCACCTTTGGAGCCCCCCAGCCTAGAAACCAGTACTGCGTCATAACCACTTGACATGAGTGGCAGTACTTCATGGGCCTTCTTCAGAACCATTGAAACGAAAGTGAACCTTTGTGTTGATTTCTGGTGGGTTTTCAATCAAGCCTTCAGAATAAGCAGGGGGCACTGAAATGCAGAGGATTTCACTGTTCTTCTCTGTACTGTGTCAGTTCTGAATACAAAGAGGTCCTCTTTGCTAGGGCTGTTGATCCATTGCCTTTCATGGCTACCAAGTTGTCCAAGACACATGTTCCTATAAAAATTGTGCACCACATGCTCTAGAACTTATTATCAGTATTCATCATCTTATAACCTCAACTTTTCCATTCAGTTCTGACATCTTTCCTTCCCTGCCTCCCTTCCCACTTTTTCCACAGGTACTGTGTTATTCATGGGAAGGGTAATGCACCCTGAAGCAATGAATACAAGTGGTCATGACTTTGAAGAGCTTTAACTGCCACCAGTTACCAAAAAGAGGAGATAAGCACATAAAGTTTGAAGTTAATATATTTAAGGTTTGCTGTGTTTTCCCCCAAGATATTGTTTAAAACGCTTTCAGATCTAACTGTGTGCAAGTCAGTTTCCAGAGGAAAGCTTACAGTATTAAAATAATGATTCTGTTTCTGTCATTGTGATTGCCGTGTCCTTAAAATAAAATTGTGTACATGTCAACAACTGTTTCTTGTTCTAGTGAATTGTAAAGCAAAAAACCTTGCAAATCCATTATTCGTCATTCTTTTTAAAGTACAAAGACTGACTTGATCAATGAGACAGGAGCGGAATGTGTGCAGCTCTGAATAACGCAAATGGCAAACCTTGATGATAATTTATAGAGTTGAAGAACCACATCTGGACAATGTGATCTTTTCCTGTTCCTGTAAAAGTAGTAAACAGACTGCGATACGCTGTCTCATCAAAGTTAATGGAACAAATTAAGCCTAGTGGATTTTATTCTATAACTGCGGTAGACCTTGTGTGAACTCTCCCACATGTGATTCTAAAATGTTGCTTTTATGAATGCTCCTGCATGCGACTCTGCAATTCACCTTCCGTAACTGTTGATGCCGATAAAATTTGATCGCATGAATATTTGAGACTAGTCAGTGTAGAATAGCTATGTATGTGACTAAAGTAAAATAGTTGAATGGTAATGTCATTCATGTGGACATATTTTTCTCCCCCAAAGTAGTTGTTCTACTTTAACCTAAGCCTTGCAGTATCTCACTTCAATGATCTAGAATGATCTTTCTCAAAGTAAAAAAACCCCAACCCTTAATTTTAAGTGTCTATAAATGTTCTATTCATAAATAAATGTCTAAAGGAACAACATAATCCTTTTTATTCCCTAGCTTTTTATTGAGAATAAAGTGACAGAGAGAAGAATGACACATACCACAAGTAAATATTATCAGGGGAATTAGTTGCTGTTTCCATTTGCAAGAGGAGGAGAAGTAGCAGTTGTCACCAGAGAAGCATATAATTATTTCTTCCCTCATTGTGCAAAATATAAAAAAGAACAGAAGTTATTAAAAAGGTAAGAGGGAATAGGAGAAGAGAAGGGAAGGAGCTCTCTTGAAGCAGATAATAAATACAAACTTCTGGATAATAGATGGGTTTCTTCTCAGTCAATAGGAGTTTTGTCTTTTGAATTCTATGGGAACAAATGCGTATTGGCAGCACTTTAGTTTTAGTTATAGGCTTCTCTGGCATACATTCACTTCAAAACAGCATAGACATTGCTCACAAAGGTATTCGTGCAAGGAGAACTTCCAAAACTTGACACATTGTTCACTTTTTTTTTTTATCCTGCTGGTGCAAATCATGCAGTCCAAACTGCAAAGTGATGGATGTTCTCTGTGGAGGCTGGTTATGGTCCCTCGGAGAAAGAGCATTTGAACATTTCTAGCCCTGTCTCCTTGAATTGTTTAGTTCTGTTGCACAGAAGAAAAATGGAGCTCCTTAGTGTGTTGCTGTTGCTTATTACCCTTAGTGTATTCTAGCCTGGACTTGGTGAGACAGTTTCTGTATTCAAATTTGGACAAAAATTGTAATTTTAGTTCTGTATAGATAAAAATGTTATGCTTGGGAGAGAAAAAACGGTAGTGCTTCTAAGAAGGAGCAGGGGCTAATTTTTCCAAGATCTAGAACTAGCCTCACTGCAGGTAAAACCAGGTCCTTTGACATGGAGTTACACAAGGGCTGGTTCTTCATGTTGAAATGATTCCATGAACATCACCTAATGTCTGTAAAAGTGACCCATATGCTAAAGATCTCTTGTGGTTTTAATCTTATGGGAGCCTGATTTTTAAGCTAATATATTTTTTTCAGGCTAATTTTTGAGGTGTTCACTCTGATTTGGAAAGACGTGCGAAAGCAGTTGACAACCCTCAATCATGTTTATCTTCAGTCCATCAAAAGTTTTTCCTGACCACTTTTGTGTTTTCTTTGCATTAGTTCCTTGCAGCATAGATGCTTCTTACCCAGGGAAGGACTGAAGATAGATTTGAACTAAAGCTATGGAATTATGGAAGGACAGCTGCCAGTCAGAAGTATTTATAGAGGATATCAGGCAAGTGCACAGACTTCCCTAGCAGTTGGACTGAGCATAGGTATAAATGGAATGATGCAGAATCGCATATTCCAAATGTGATTCTGAGAATTGCCTAAACAGGTACATAGGAAAACCAGCAGAAAGAGAAATGCAAACACTAGTTATTTCACGTGGTACTCTCCTAGCCCTTACAGATGCAAAATAGCCATTTCATGTGTCTTGAAAATTGAGAATTATCTGGTTTTCAACAACATGAATGGATTTATTATGTAATTATGCAAAGGTGTTAGTTGTAGACTGCAATGAGAAGAGCTCTCAAACAATACTGTTTTTCAGTAGTGATAATATTTTAATTATTGTTACCAATTTATCGAGGTATATGAATACTATTCCATTGTGGCTTTTAATCTAGATTTTGTATAATGTTCCTTTCAAAGATGCTATTGCTTTTTTGAGACAAAACTAGCAAAATAATTGTCTTTTTTGTTTCGATTTTTTTTTTTTTTGGTAAGGGGAATTTGTCAATAGTGGCGCATATGTGAGTTTAGGTGTGTAGTTTTTAAAAAAAAAATAAATTGTATTTTGTGTTGGAGGCTATATCAGAAAATAAATTACTGAAACTTCTATAGTTGTGCTGTGTAAGTGACCCATGATGTGACACTGTCTACCGAGATCCTTCTGTGATGCAGATGGAGTTTAAGCATGCGATGCAGTTGCCTAATGCTATCATCTTCTCTTTCTTGCATACACCTACTGGAGTCCGGGTGGAAGTGCTTTTCAGAGCTGCAGCTGGAAAGAGTACTTGCCCTATGAATCCTTTTAGTAGCGGTGCTACCACTGGAGACTGACTTAACTAATACGATCCCACTTGTACATGCCCTTGTACCAAACAGTTTTTCTAGAGTAGTACTACATTCAAACAAAGATTTGTCATGTTGTATGAATTGGAATGTTTTTGTTGCTGTTCCAAGCACTAATCTTCACTATCCTTCCATAAGCCTTGATGATGGCAAAGTAAACTGTTGTGTCAGTTTCTGTGAATCAAGTACATGATATCCCTCAAACAAATAAGATCTTAGTGTTATACCAGAAACAAACAAAAAAAAATTAGTCAAAGCTTTTGTGGCTAATTTTTATTTTTCAATGATGGACAAAAGAAGAAACCACAAGATGTCACTCTATTCTAAGAAGCTGAGAAGTACTTTCCCATTGACAGTAATCCTATGGGAGTGTTGGAAAGCTGAATATCCTGAATGGGACTCAAGTATATGTAGGTCTTGGTAAAATCAATGAGAGTTGCTTGAGTTTGAGAGCATAATTAGACCCAGGTGCCTGAGATTAATAATCAGGGGCAGGGGGAACAAACACCCAAAAAAACCTGCTTTGTGTTACAAGTTTTTCTCTGATTCTTGATAACAGCTTGCTGGATTAAGTTCATTGCTCATAGGGGAGTTTGTGTTCAGTTCATAGCCTGCATGATTGCATTGTGTACTTGGTGTGGGTGAAATAAAAAGGTTGTTCTTTCAACCCATCTCCATGAACAGCAGTAGAGCTGTACTGTGGTTACTTCAGAGTGTCAGTGCTGCAATAGGAGACACATTTTTCTTGACTACAAAAGAGAAATAACTAGGGTTGAAGTCATTGATATGCTGGCCCTATTATTCTGATGTTGTTCTCTTTCACTTACCTCTTTTATTTCCCCCCTCCCTTGCTGCCTTACATACAGTCACGAGAATTTCTGCGTGAGCAGATTCCCAGCGTGTTCTCCCCTTGTACAGTGAGGTTACACCACTGCCGGGCATTCTACTCTCTTACTGGAGAGAAGGCAATATTTTTCCTATGAGGGTTTTCTAAAAAAGATGACAAGGCATACTCCAAAAGCAGTATTTACAAGCTGATTCTTGAGTTGTTTCTGTCCCTTTTAATGGGCAATCTTTGCTTTTGTCCCTACAGTGGAAAATGGAAATACATGGATTAAAGAGAGATGGATGGTTTACCCCCAAAACCCAGTGCCAGGGAGGAGGAAAACAGTACCTTAGTAACTCAGATAATACCAGCAAGAAGTGAGTTCACTTCCCCTGTGAGCTACTTTGCATCTGCTGACACAGTTGATGAGAAATTGTAGATTAATTTAGCTTGTAAAACTGCCTGCAGTCCCCAAGGATTTTCCATCAAGCTGCAGTGGTTACAGAGGTCCAGACAGAATGAAGAGTCTGACTGCTTACTGGGGACCTTTGTTAATTGGTTCAGTAGCTTGTCTTTCGCTTCCAGCTGGCATTGGTTAAGGGCTATAAAACAGAGTTACACATGAGAAACCATTCACGATACACAAACATAGTTGGTACTGTGAAACTCATGAACACTACATATGTTACCTCCAACGACCAGGGCTTCTCCAGTGACATTCTCTTTATATAGTATTGCTCTTAGAACATCAACATGAATGTTTTTGATTTCACAGCAGTAATTAGAAGCCCGAGTCATGGACCAATTTCTCTAGGCATTAGGCAAACAGAATAAGGTAGACAAAAGTCATGTAATAAAATGCGGTTTAAATCGTAGTTTATAGACAAAAGCACAGTGCAATAGTCAAGGCTGTAAGGCTAGTGAAGGATATCAGACTTAGTCGCAGTCACTCTGGCAGGCAGGTAACCAGAGAAAGGTGGTGAAAATAAATGTATTATCCAAACAAGAGGTGAGTCTCAGCTCCACTCGCTATTTTAGAAATTGTTCAGACTTTTTCAATGCAGCCTCCAAACTCCATTAATGGCTGTGCCTGGAAGTCAGGCAGCTAAGCATTCTCAGATAGGCGCAACTCCAAACAAGCACAGTAAAGCTCAAAACGTTGGCAGCTGTTCCTGAAAAGCAGAGTATGCAAAAGTCTTCACGGCACTTTCCACTTTCAACTGTGATCAAATAGTCTGAAAGTTTTTTTTCTTAATGATGTGTTTGCAGCACTGTGTTCTGGAAACTAATCTGGCAGGTAGTGGTAGTAAAATTCTAGGTCTACTAGGACCTGGCTGAGGAAAAAGATTGAAATTGTTCCTGCAGCTGGGGAATTTAGCCTGTTGCCTGAGGTTTTATCTTTTCAGCCACACTGAATCACAATATGAATGATGTTTCAGATATGACCCATGCTTTACTGATAAGTTACTTTACTATCTAGCTCTCATAAGCACACATCTTCTCTTCCCTATGGAAAAGTCAACTTTTGGACAAACCGAGGGAAGAATTCCTACAGAAAAAATGATTCTGTATTTGTGTCGAAGTGCTTTTAAGTAAGGAAGAAAAAGAACTTACAGAGGAAATCTGGATTGTGTCTAAATCATGTCTTTTGTGCTCTCATTAAGGGATTGGAATTGGCCATGGAAAAATCCTGTTTTTTCTTTAAGAGCAATTTGTTTAGATGGGCTTCAACCATTCCTTCAAGTATTCTAATGCTACCAAAAGAGTTTAGACCCAATCATAGTTAAACATTTTTACTCTATTTACATGCATTTGTTAAGAGTCATGTTTTAAACCCAAGCAACTTGCAGTGCTGGAATGCTTACAAGCAGTAACTGTGTGGTAGCATTGCCTGAACAGAATGAAAGAAATATG